TATATATATATATATATATATATATATATATATATAACACTCGCGCTCTGGCTTATATATATATATAACACTCGCGCTCTGGACTTACTTGCGTACGAGAGGTCTTCACCTATGCGGTAGTGGAGGAGAGACGAAGAGAAGATAGAGTTCGGACAGATAGACACATATAGAGAGAGTTAGTTAAAGAGCCTCATCTTGCGAATCTCGGTGTTGGTTCTGTCATGAACCCGCGCGTGTATGTATGGTGCGTGTCAAAAATCATTACTTGTCTTTTTACACCGTGTGTACGCGTGTCACCGTGTACATATGTGTGTGTGTACTTGACACGATTGCTGACAATGCGTGCCTCATCGTGTGAACCGAATGAGTCTCGTGAGATGAGCGTGTGTGTATTTATGCGTGGCTCGAAATGAGCGATGCGAGTGACAGTGTGGAGATTATTACTCGGTACCCCGATAATCCTGTGCGTTACTTCTTTTACGCGCGCATCGCTCACGTGTAATTCCGTGGTGTTTGAACATCATGAGGACCGAGGCTTGCGAAATCGGCGATCTGCTTCCGAATGGGAAGAAAGATAGAACAAGAGAGAAAGATAGAAAGTGTGAAAGAGAGAGAGAGAGAGAGAGAGAGAGAGAGAGAGAGAGAGAGAGAGAGAGAGAGAAAACGGTATAGCAATTGGAGTAACGGGTGTCAATGATGGTTCATCAGCGTGTTCATCGATATTTGCACCGGTAGCAAATTTTCCGCGCGAGGCTGCTCCGATAGCCAAACAATTTTTTTTTACGACGCGGAACACTCGTGACACGCGCGACAATTGCCGTCAATCGCGGGGGATAACGTTCATCTGACCGTAATAGAGCGAATAGTCGGTCGCGTCGGTTGGCGATGTAACGTCGACATGCGCGTACTCACGTACGGTTCAAAGAGTGCACTGCGAGCTTTCGGAAGACGCACTCCATATCTAACGCACGGCAACACTCATGACTGTCACGGGACATTTGCTATGACGTTGAAAATATTGGAGGGGTACACCGGATTAGGTCGGCGACGTTTTACACGAAAATCCTTCGATATCAACGTTCGTTGTCTCTCTGCCACAGGACGGGTTATAAAGTTCCACGCATGAAGAGGGCTAATTCTAAAGTATTCGCTAAATTACACGTCGAGTTATGTTAGATATCGAACACCGATGCAAGGTCAATTGGAGGATTAATAAGTTTAAGGCAGTTACATTACGCGGGTTCTCAATTGAGTTAATTTCAATAATTCACTCACAACAATAACCATCAAATAACACAAACTTTCAGGAGAACTACATTCAAAAACGACACTGATAGTAGTAGTGTGTATAATCTCGGTTGCAAAAATAGTTAAGAACACCACACCAATAGGGACTCAAACACTAACGACGGTGTCTACGCTGGAACCATTTATCAATTCGAACGACAGATTAGCACAACGACATCGGTCTTTTTTCTTTCTTTTCTATTGGGATTTATCGCGGGAAAGATGTGGACTTAATGAGAATAGAATGATAATATTATGCAATTAGTGATAAAAATCTCTGTGGCGTGTCTCTCACACATACACACACCACACGCACACACACGTTGTGCTAGTCTTGTTTTACGGAAGATGTGTTTTTCTTTTCGTTCGGTGATTTTTGATTTACAATTTAGGAATCACGGAAAATTTATTGGTGAAATAGGCCTTGACGAGAGACGGAAATTTATCGTCGATTGGCGAGAAAAAAAGAGATAAATAACATAAGCAATCAGAATTTATCATCGACGTATCGTAAAAAATATATATGATTTGTTATACAAGTGTTTATACTGAGCCTTTATAACCGTCAAGACAAATATCCCAAGATATATTGGTTTTAATTGATATTTTCAGGTTAGAATTTTGAACAACGTACTTGTTAAAATAAGCGGTATAAAATTATACGAGAGACCGCTATAGACATGACCTTTGAGTCGAAGTTACTCAATAAAAAAATCCGATAACATTATAAATTTATACTGCGTCATCTTCATTATATTATAGTTGGAATTGTAATATTTTAATGTTTTAATATTATGCGAATCACCTTTTCGCCTAGAAATAACTATTTTATATAACAAATTCACTAGAGAAATATTTCATACATATGTTCATTTTTACATAAAAAAAAAAAAAAAAAAATATATATATATATATATATATATATTCTCCGAATCGTTAGTGAAATTGGAAAACGTCGCTTTTATTTAATATTCGGCGTATTATTGTTCACAGTTATGATTTTTTCAACGAGAACGCTAATGTTTCGAATTAAAGGCCATGTCGCAGACGGAGAAAATCATAATTTCTTTTCTTCTCTTGTCTTTTATCTCGTCTCGTTTAGCAAGAAATTTTGCCCCGTCCGACGAATTTACTCTTCGCGAATCTCCGTATTAGGATTAAGATAAAAAATGACACTTGGTACACAGTCTACACACGGGGGATACGTACTTGCTCTTCCAACCATCTGAACAGCTCGCACGCCTTTCCGGAATGTGGCCACTGCCCGAAGGGAGGAGAACCAGAGCTGTTAGTTGTCACACCAAAACAATGTCAACCTAGATGCGGGGGTCTCAACGGGTGTAGGGTTGGGGGCTAAATCCGTGGTCCCGATCGATATGTCACGTTTAGCACTCATTACACTAAGACTTATCTTTATCACAGATATCTAGACTATATTAAAAAATCGCTATTAGAGGCTTTCACGCGTATTTCTCTCGTTTCTTTTCTTTTCCTTGTATCTCTCGGTCGTATCTTTCGATCGAACTCGAGTTTCGCGATTGTTCGTGTTAACCAGTATGCACATTAATTGCATTCGATTGCTCGTGATTTGTATGTCATGCGTGCGTATTTAGTTCATACAGAAGCTCTCGTCATTGAAAGAAGCATTAGAAGTAACTTTCGGAGGGAAGATCTGGCAAGGCCGAGCGTCGCAGATTTCATATCTCACGAATATATCGCTGCTCTCTTGTGAAAGTGTCATCGTGGCTTACTGTAACGTGACCTTCGATGGAGAGATTTATTATTAACACACTGATGTTACAACCATTAAATAATTTACTTAGTGAGGATCGCAACACACAGAGATTGTACATCTGCGCTGTGCGGTTAAACCACGTATTCAGGAATACTTCGCATTGAAAAAGAAAGAAAAAAAAAAGAAAAAATAAAAGAGAGTGTGAGAGATACGCTTTCTCAAGATCGGTTGCAGTGTCGGCGTTATTGTTGTGATGTTGGTGAGTGGTGTCAAATATGCTTGATATGTGAAAGGGGAAATGGAGTATTTTTAGCTAATGTGTGTTCGATAAACCCTGGGCAACGATTATCATCGTCCCTGTAAGTTGTATAAGCTCATGGTACAAGCTTACCAAGTCTTTGGTGCTTTCGATTGCGTGCTGTATCCAATTAATCACTCGCGCACAACGACATTGAAAGTATATCACGGAGACGAAATTTCACGTGCACGAGCAGAAGATCAATATCATACTTAATAACGTATTCGGCCGTATAGATTTTTTCTTTAGCTATTAATAAAATACTGAATGTCGGAAAGAAGGAAGAAACAATAACACGTGGCACGTAACCATACTTCGAGCTTCTTGACAAATGTACTCGACGTGAAAACTTGTATACAAAATATGTGACAAGAGTTCTAAGAATATATGCGGCATCCTTTCAACTGAGTGCAAAAAAGTACTTGTAAATGCAGCATATTCGAACACTGGCGGAAAATTCTCAAACGACGGGCGTCTGTAACCACAATCTTGTCAACGAATACTTTGCAATTTGCAAATCGAATCAGGTAAAAAAATAATACCAAAGTTTACTGCATTAATTATGAAACTTGTTACGCAAATAGAGCAATAAGAAGACGTTTCTCGTGAAAGTTGATTTCCAAGAGGATTCTTTCGGCATACTTACATTTACGCATCGCGCCTACGAGTCGCAAGTAATTTCACGATGACTTTTCTTAGCAACTTTCACGAAAAACGTTCGATCTGTGCAAAAACAACGTAATAAATATATATACAAGGCGACCCAAAGAGGGGAATATAATAGCATTCAACTTCGCTATGAACGCGAAAAAATGTCATATGTATACGTCGTATGTATGTATATACGAAATAAATGATATTGGGCAACCTTATATGTAAAGTGGCACCCCATTTCCAAACTGTCGCGCGATCGTTACGAATAACGAATAACGTAAGGAAGATATTCTAACAATAAGAAGGAACGCGTAATTGACAGGTGACAATTTGGAAAATTGGCGGCGCGGAGCAATGTAAATTATTAATAAAACTCCACGTAAGCACACTGAAACAACGGTTAAGAACAATCGTTAGCAAGCACCTGAAATACAGTATTGTACGAGCGAAGCTCGTCGATTGGTGATACGTGGCAGCCATTTAACGTGAATACATCAAATGTATATATATATAATTTTTTTTTTATGTAATATATATGTACGGCTCGTGCAAGAATGCGTTTTCTGCGCGGAAGCGACCACTGTATTTGTGACGAACGAAGCTAAACGTTGCGCAATAGTTGATCGATTTGCGACGTTATGACCGTCCGCTCGTCCAACCGGCGTGCTTGTTATACTCGGCCTCGGCCCATGTGTCGAAGTAGAAGAAGCGGCCAACAATGTTAGTGCTACATAACGTAACAGTATGCTGCTTTTATTATAAAGGGCGATGCTCGATAACTCGCTCATGTTATCAGCCATCAGCTCTAGCGAAAAGCCCAACGATAAACAGTACGAATCGAGCGGATCCAAGTGGGGGAGGGGGGGGGGGGCAAAAANAGAGAGTATACGGGTAGTGTGGAGTAAGTGCACGTGGTAGTGAGTCTATTGTACGTTCGCTACACCACTTACACCATCTTACCTCGTTAAATATCAACTTGGTCAACCTGTCCGGCCGGAAACGGTCACATTTTCCGTGATATTTCGGATAAAGCAAATGTTAATACACGTGCTACATCGATCGACATTTTTTACGGCATGATTTTCCGACACGGAAAGTATACCGAGTCCGGCGGAGCACTTTTTTGTCAGGATGACGAACACGAATTAAGAGATCAACTCGTCTAAGAGATATCATCTTTTCGAAAAAGAGAGTAGCAATCGACATTTCACTAATTGAATATAATCGGGCATTTAATTCTCGTGTCCGTTCATGCTAGCAAATGCTCGCAGGAGCTGCGACAGGTGGATAGTGTGTGTACACAGGATATGAACGGGAAAAGGAAGCCGGAAGCAGGCATACCGTCGAGGTAACTGCTGTAGGCAGTGTTTCCCTTCACCATGCCGGTCTGCATCATCATCATCCCCACATCTGTAAAAATCCAGCGATCGACCCAGACACGGGTTTGTGAGTGTACAAGTTACGAATAAACGGACAAACGTATATACAAGATGGGTGGGGAAGGGAGAAAAACGTGAACGATCGACGCGTCTCTTTTAGTAACGTAGCTTCTGCGGAATTCGTACGTGCGCGCGAACAAATCATATTTACACGTGTCAGCGAATGGTAAAAATTCGACAAACAAAATTCGATTCGATTTTGCCATTTCAGGCAGACATCGACGAGGATGTAGCGCGGATGTTTTCGAGGGGGTAGCGCGCAAAAGGCTAGCCCGCGTCGTTCACGTACGAATTCGAGCACGGCATTAGTCGCACAAGTACGTACTTTCAATCACATAAATAAAGATACACTCGGTATACATAATCCAAGGTACGCAACGCTGTAAAGACGCCGGACAGAAAAGCTCGCTGATCTCGGACAATGTTACCTTCGGTTTTCCTCCCGCATTTTCGCCGGCGGATTCTTCGGAGGGGGGCAAAAGAAACACCTAAAATCGGATAGGATTAACCGTCCATCGCGCGAACGACATCGCGCCCGGTACTCGAGCGAGATAATCGAGTACGGGAACGCTGATTGCCCAGGGTTTAGGGTATTACCGTTTCTGTATATGGACGGACTGATCTGTGTGAGTCGGGGGTAAACTCGTGTGGATGTCGTGTACATGGGTGTGTACGAGTGTTCGCGGTATGTCGCGTGTGACATGGACGGAATTGTCGGCGGGCGAAGGCGACTCTCCGAGGTCTCTCCCCGAAGCGCCTGAGAGCGGCACGGGGTCTCTCTCGTCGTTCGAATGGGAATGCACCACCGGGGGCGATTCGAGAACGAGGAACGCTCGAGACAATGCGCGTTGAAGAGAAGACGGCTCGATCGGTCTCATCGATATCACAGCTAATTACACGTTGAGAGGGGAAAGAAGAGGTAGAGAATGAGAGAAGGGGTGAGACAGAGCTGGCACACGATCGAAGAAAGTAATTTCGGAAAAAATGGAGACAGCGAAAGAGAGAGAGAGAGAGAGAGTGATCGAGAGAAAGAAGCTGTCATTACCATTATGGCGTAAACGGGCCCGGGAGCTAGTTCATGCATGCAAGGCGAGCGAGAAGGGGGCACACACTAGTAGTGCAGGCTAATTTTCGTTCTCGGTCAGGTGGACATGCGCCAACTGACTGAATTATCAGGAATTACGTGTCGAGCCGGTACTTCATTTTTCACGTCATTTCACCTCGCGATCGGAGAATGGAGATTATTCTCGTCGAGACCGAACGATTTGATCGTATACTCAATGTTGCGTAACATGGAGCAACTCGATCCACTCGAGCCTGGGTCTGCAGCAAGTGTGTTTTACTTGAACCGTTGCAAACGCACACTCGCTCCTTTGTCTAGTGACCTTAATCATTGTCGTACGGAAAACATCGATATTATCACACGCGAATTTCTCTCGACACGCTTTCGAAAGAGAGACAGAGAGAGAGAGAGAGAGAGAGAGAGAACGGTGTGACGGTGAAAAACGAAGGAACACCCGATCGTAGGTATCGCCTTGGTGTCTTGCAACGGAGATCAAAGATGCAATCGTATCGTGATCATCATCGTCATTATCGTGATAATCATCATCTCGTACTCATCACATTGGCTTGTGTATGCAGGAAATTAGTCGGAGAAGTGTATGCATCAGTGGGATACAGAGAGATAAAATATATAGATAAAGAGAAAGAGAAATATATAGAAAGAAAGAAAGAAAGGGAGACAGAGAGGGACAGACAAAAAGAGATGAAAAGAGAAGGAGAAACGAGGAGGAGAAGAAGAAGAAGAAGAAAGAAAGAGAATAAACTCAGCAAAAGGACGGAAAATAGAGCGCGACAGTACAGTGCCAGAATAGTGGTAATATGTTAACGATGAAAATGGTCGTATGAGCGGCGAATTAATTGGTTTGATGTTCAGCGAGTGGGAAGGGCGGTTCAAGAGCCAGATCGTATATAAAAAGGGTAAAGAAGATAAAAGAGAACAAAAGTGTTAAGAGATAGTCACAGATGATAGTAAAGTATCAGACTTAACGAACGAGAGTGTGAGACGTTACCTAAGTCCCGGCCCCAGGAGCGCTGCTGCTGCCCCACTAGATCATATATCACAATAAGATGGTCACAACCATGTCACTTCGTTAATAGTCGCAAATATTATTGTTATCGCTCTCGATCGGGCAGAGGTTAAAACGGGCCGGCGGAAAGACCGAGGTGAGGAATCGGATAGTCGAGGGGGGATAAAAGAGAGCTTCCTGCGTGATCCGTTCGTATTTTTACGCGTAATTTCATGTTTTATACGTAAAAAACATTACGATGTTATAAATCTTGCGAGTCACAGCGACGGCTCCGTCGTTGGTAGACGAGGCGAAGAACGAGAGAGATGAGCCGCTCATGTGACTCGCAATGCTAACGATAGATCGAGCGCGTTCTATGTACATATGTATACAGTTTTATATATATATATATATATATATATATATATAAACATATGTATAAACCTCGGTATAGAGAAGTACAGGTGCCGCTTAGCAGAGAATTTGGCAAGAGTCGAGAAAAGGCTAAAAGAATCACTGGGTTAGAAAGACTTACAATTTTTGCACTTGCACTTCTTGATCAGAGTCTCGTCTTTAATATCCTCGTGGCATACTTTGCAATAGAACCACGCCCTGAAAAACGAGAGCAAAGAAGGGACATATTATTACATCGTACTCGTGTGGATGATTGCGATGAAAGGAGATCGCCTCAGGAGCGCCGATTCGACCGATAGAATTGAAAACGATGACAAACGTTAGACAATTCCGTAATTAGACACTTGGTCGTAATTACGGAAAGTGCTTGTGTACGATCAGTGGCGCAAATAACGACGGAACACCTCGATTCCAATCAAATGCGATCTCATTTCGGCAAGCAGTAAAAGCTCATTCGTGCAGCTAAATTAAAATAAAGCTGTATAAATGCGTCGAGCAAGATTGGGAACGAATGAGCCTCTACTCTCATTAAATGTTCGAGTAATATTCGATTACTGTGCTCTTACCGCTTCACTTCGTCAGCAGATTGAGCAATGAAGAATCCCTGAGTATTCGCAGCGATCTTGGCACCACGTGGGTTAATCGAGATTTTACTGTCGGAGCCTCCTTCGCCTTTTATCTCGATGGCCAGCAGTAAGAGCTTCAGTTTTGTGAAGCACAACCTACGACGAAGTCATGCGTAACATTCGCGAATTACCAGTCGAGCGTAACAAGCTAACGTTTCGCGCTTGCATACACTGCTCGTTTTTTTATACGATACATTCAGGATAACATTGTACGTGAGACAATGGCGATCAGCTACGAAAAGCGTTTAGAATTATTGCACAGACAAGATGTAGTTGAGATAATGAGTTGCGTACAAATATGAACATCTCCGAATGTTAGAAAAATCCCCACGGTAATGGTGGTTCATTGTACAGGGCTTTTCGGTATTATAACTGCAGAATTAATTAACCGGCGGATAGAACTTACAAGAGCAAACGGAAAGGTCACGATGAACGTAGCTTCACGAACGAATAATTTTTCAGGTATCGCCTTTCATTTCCAATTGTTCCTACCTGAAGTAAGAACAACGATTTCGTTATCGTCACGATGAAATATGCGACGGGAAAGTATATCCGGCGCTTTCGTCGCGAATATGCGAAGACAAGTCATGCGGAGTGTTCGGCCGCGATGTCTTCCGGATCGGCGAGAAAGAACAATACGATCGAGAAGGGTGCTTTTTGTTGCACGCATCGAACGAGTCTCGTTCCTTTCGATAGAGCGTGTTTACTAATCGCACCGTTCAGCGAGCATGTGCCGTACAATCTACTTCGGGGTGAGGGCGATGCGTAGACGGTTTCGCAGAATCAAGGGGGGGGGGGAATGCGGGCGCGTTACAATGTTCAGCTGACCTACCCTACAGCAGTACAACTGACTCTACTCAACAGTGCCGATCGATACAAACGTCAATATATCTTCCACTTCTAGCCGTAGCGACTTTGGGAACGGACCATTGGAAAGAGCTTGGACTATCCCGCTTCCGATGGATGGACACTCGTTCGTCGAGATTTTTTCGTTTGCTCTCCTCAAGAGTTGTATTGACCAGTTAGATCTTTATCTACAATTCCGAAATACCTTGTGCAAGAGACGACCAAGAGTACCGTGTGAATTGCATTGTATTACGCAAACTGCTGTCAATGTGATGAAATACTCGAAATCGCTACTCGAAGACAACTCAGTATCGTATATTTATATTGAGCGTTAACAATGAAACTTGAATTTAGAAAAAAAGGAAAGCTCATGTTTTTCGCATTAATTGGATGCATTGCTATAATAAAGATGTAATAATAAAACATATGTTCTATTAAAATTTTACATTCTTCTCGATATAGATGATCTGAGAATGCAAGTTTCATTGTTTCGTGCGACAAGTTATGTTAAACACAAATGAGGCATAAAGTATATTTTCATATTATATTTTGGTTCCACTTCTATAAAAAATATATAACAGAAAATGTGATATATTAGGTTGGTGCATATGAAATGTCGGATTCTTAAGTGATTGTATAAAACTGTATATCTTTCTTCAAAAGCTGTTTATTCAATCAAAGTATGCTCCATTCGCTTCAATACACTTCTCCCAACGAGATTTTAAAGCGTAGATGCCTGTCTTAAAAAAATTTTGGTCTTTAGAATTAATAAACTCTGATATCGAGTTTTTTAGACTGTCTTCATTTTCATGGTGTTTGCCTCTTAAAAACAGCTCTAAATGCTTGAAAAAATGAAAATCGGTCGGCGAGAGATCCGGTGAATATGGTGGATGCTGCAAAACTTCATATTCCAGTTCGTTCAGTTTCGCAATTGTTTTGTGCGATGTGTGCGGCCGAGCGTTGTCATGGAGCAGTAGCGGGCCATGCCGATTCACAAGCGATGGGAGTACAATTTGGTGTCTCAATATCGTTGTATGGTCAACTTTCATCCTGATAGCAAGTTCCCTCGTGGATACGGCTGGATCCGCTTCCACTAGAGCCTTCAGGTCATCATTATTCACAGACGTTTTGGGTCTTCCGCGCGGCTCATTTTGCAGTGAAAAATCGCCAGTCCGAAATTTTTCGAACCAACGCTGCACTTTCCGATTGTTAACCGTATTCTCCCCAAACGCTTGGTTTATGTTGCGTGCAGCTTTTGCAGCACTATTACCAAGTTTGTACTCATATAAGAAAATGACGCGAATGTCGGCAGAATTCATATCGGTAATAAACTCAAAAGAAATAAAAAAGGGAAGACCTTCGAGAAAACCTATTTTGTTGAAATGAGTCTCTGGCAATGGACAATACGAGTATGAATGAGGTTATGCCAAATACAAAAGTATAACGAAAACAGGGAGGAAAACGTCCGCATGTAAAGAGAATGCGACATTTCATACGCACCAACCTAATACAATTGAATGAAAGGTAACGGCGTTAAATTTCTTAAAAGTTCCGCACAAATTTAATGATTCATATAATATGGAAATTGCAAAGAAAATAATATATAAAAATATGACAGAAAACCTTTATTTTTGCATTCAATATTAGTTTACTACACACTTTATGCTCCTCGTTTGAAACTATTCGCAGATAATGTGTATTACATAATAAGATGTGTATACATCCACAGCGTAACGGGACATTGATTATCACCAATACAGAACGAATTTTGTGTGCGTTGCAAATTTAACACAACGATGATTTAAAGGCAAAATTGAAGCTTATTCGCGTTTGATTGTATCAATGCTCCGTTATACCACCTCGGCGACAACAGAAAAATCATGCAAGCGTACGCATATTAAGAGAGAGAGAGAGAGAGAGAGAGAGAGAGAGTGTGATGAATTAAACACAAGCTATCGTGCAGGAGAGTAAACACGTAAACAATCATTACTTATCTAATGATACGAGTCGAAACATGCCAAGAGATCGAAAGTTTCTCTATCGCTTTCTAGACTATTATGCTCCAAGTTCCTAATCTACTTCAAAGTTCCAGAAGGCATTCGGGAAGTTCCGCACGTCCGTAAAAGGATCCGAAACGGATCGACTAACGTTTTACAAGCGTTTTATATGTACGACCGTATACACAGATATCATACGGCGTAAAGATAGTAAAGATATTTCTATGGTGTTCATTGTGAAAGAAGATCGTTTCTTACAAGAATAGATAGATCTCTCACACACGCAAACCAAATGGTGACAATAATCCAAGTGTGCGCATAAATGAAAAAAGAAAATTTCGGAGAAATCGCGAGAAACTCTTTTCTGCCTTGCGAGTGACAACGCGAGACACTCAGATTTTTATACACTGGCTGCGACGTCGCTGACAAACCGCGCCAATTTTTCACCTCGGTGAAATTCCTCCCTTTCGTTTTATTCTTTTTGGCTGATGTTTCTTAACATTTAATTTGAAACATTTAAATAACTTAAGAGCTATTGAGAATTTCGAGACCATTTTTATATCCTTTCTTAATATTTTGTTATAGATAAAAGAAATTGTTTAACAATTTCGAACCTAGTGCCGAAAAATCAGTGACGCGATCGAATAGGTAGGCGAATACGGTGCAATTCAGACGGTTGAAAAAGGCTATCGATAAAATTACGGCGCAATTACTTCGTCCTTATAAATTTCGTAGTTTTCTTGCATGTAAAATATTTATATTAAATAGTCTTTGGTAATATATTCCATACTGTTGATTCACTGTGCCGGATAATATATATTTTTTTATTAAACTGTACCGTAAATATTTCTAGCATTATTCAAAGTTACTTTTGTAATATTTTCACTACAAAGACCCGTGCGATGCAGGAGGTAGACGACAATTTTCCCTTTCTAGATATATTTCCTAGCAGTGTGTCGGGCAGTATATAAAATACCTTTCCGCATGGAGTATACTTTCCATGTAATCTCCTGAAATGCAATATTTCGACTAACTTTTATCGTGCGCGTTCCAGTATCAACGAGCAGTTTTCCACGGAATACATTAGTATTCACGGGGAGCGGCACGTTACCACGCTTTAGTTACCGCCGGTGGCTTTCGCGAGAACGATTAAAGTCCGTTAACGAACGCAGCGTAACTAATTACATAAATTTCACGATCCGACTAACAGCCACACGATCGAATATCACCCGTACTACACACTTTTCCGATAACCTGTATATGTGTTACGAATAATATAAGTTTTCACATACTTTTACACGGTAAAGAGCAGCAGGCATGCGTGTACAAAGAACGCGCATTGGTTAAAAGAATATTAGAACGCTACATCTAAGAACACACACCATGACAAGGAGGATCGCCGACAATGAGACAAAAACCCTTGCCCGTGGCGCATTACTTGAAAGTAAAATTGCCCCCTCCAAAAAAAAAGGAAAGAAAAAACAACGGCAGGACTTCCCCGTCCTTTTCCCCGAGTTCCTCCCGACGGAATCAAGAGTCCCGCGTTTCTTTCTCAATTTCGTTTCGCCGTAAAAAAGGAAAACAAACTGTGATGTTGTCGAAGCGGGATGCACGATTTGTCAAGGCGAATGCGGATTTCGCAACGCCGATATTCGCGTCTGATCGCGACTAAAAGTTAAAACGACCGTCGGTCACGTTACACTGCGACACGATATTCTGTGCGATTTGAGATTAAAACATCCAAGGCCGACGATAAGCCAGTCATACCCGTGGCATTTAAACCACGCGGTGCAAGGCCTTGAAATGACTTTCAGCAATTTAACGCATTTTTTCCACCGTTCTGACTATCTTAAATGCTACTTGTAATATTCCTGTTACTACAACGATAAGAACAGAATTCGCGGACCGACCAACTTTGGAATCGAGGAGAAACGAAGGAAAAATATGAAACGTATAGCTCCCATCGAGAAACATTCCTTTCGTAAATTTCATTGTTTCACTCACAGTTCGGATATGTCGAGAACGCTCGATGAAAATATTCTCGAACACGCAGCGGGTCGCAAGGTAAACGAAAGGTTCCAATCTCGATATCAATTGTTCGGCGCGGCAGTGGTCGTCGTTCGGACGCGCGCGGTCGTCACGCCGTTCCCGATAGAACATTTTCGAAATCGCGGCACGGGTGCGCGTGTTTCCAGCAATTTCCGACCCGGAGTCGGCTGTTTGAAACACTTTCGTTTCCGCGAGTCGATTCCCCCGTTGCCAATCAAGCGTCCCAATTATACCGAGCACGATCGAACTCGATTTTCAACGGCCCGACTGCAGCGAAGTCCGCATTCATCCGTGTCCCTCTACTTTAATTCTACGCAATTCACAGAGGTCTGTGCAGAATCTCGAGCAAAGGTCGTAAACAAAAGGTCCAAAATGATCGGAAAAAACGGCCGAAAAAGACGGAACGAAAAAATAGAATGGACGGGTGGGAGGGGGTGAGAGGGGGGAACAAAATTCGTACAGCTCAAAACTGGACTACTCTACGCAAAATCCAAACAAAAGGATAGACAAAGACGAATATAGTAGAGACTAGTAAAGAAAATCGCTCAAGGGCTAAAATAGACCGAGGTGAAGGGCGATATATATATACGTTCTCGTGTACAGATATGTATGTAAGATATATGTATGTACGGCAACTCGGGATATTTCAGTGTGTCCAGATAACTCGTGAATCCAAGATAAGGCAAAGAGATAAATAGAGAGAGAGAGAGAGAGAGAGAGAGAGAGAGAGAGAGAGAAATTCGTGACCGAGTGTATCGATAATATATATATAAATACATATATATATATATCTCCGTATGTATCTCGCTCCTTCTTCGTATTATATGTGATGGTTCGTATAGCTGTCAATTCTCTGTGTGAGTATGTACGTGTTACCACTAGCGAGACTAGTGAGTGTATCCTTGGTTATGTGACAGCCGTTGTCAGCGAGAACTTACTCGCTGGCTTGGGGAAATGTCATCCCGGTAAAGGACGGGGAGAGGGTTTCCGTGTACATCTCGCAGCCCGTGCCCTGCAGGTAATCATTCTGCCACGCCTGAGTGTCCGGCGACTGAAACACCAACCAACCAGGCCCCACATCATCAAACCTTTCTTGATCCGCGGGTCTTTCCCGCGACGAAGGGTATCGGCTCCGTAGCGAGCGAGCCGTGACCCTTCGTGCGGGGTCATTCTAAACCGGAAGGAGGTAATCGATTGAAACATTCACCTACGCTATGCGACGATTTAAAAAAGATCTCTCGCTTCTCAGATCTGTAAGAAAAACTGGTTAGAGAGAAATTTGGTCCTCTACGGGTCCTGTGAGACAGGATCCTCTCTTCGGCGAGGGTGCAAAATGAAAACGCTCGGATATTGAGCAGACGACTATGTTGTGCACGACGACTATGCACGCGATGATGCAATTATGGCGACCGACCAGGGAAACCGCCGGTAATGATCAAATTCCAGAAGCCGTAATTCCGATCTCTCTTCCAAATTTCTATCCCACCCTCCTTTCCGTTCCCATCAATCGCAGCGATTGATCGGGCATTTCCCCTTCCTTCCTCCAGCCGTCTTTTCGTTCATCCTCTCGTGTGGCGCACAGTAGGAGCCGAGGTCCGCGCGAGAGACGTCTTCTCGATCCACTTCTCGAATTACCATCTTCTCCGCGATGAAGGAGCTTTTTCAGAAATTCTAGATTCACAGAGCACTACACTTTCTCTCGTATATTTACGCAAGTGCCTGTGCTTTCGCGACGCGATCGTCGAGAGATATAATTCTCGCGAGAATAAAAATGGAAATTCTCCTTAATCCGCTGATGTATTATTTAACTTTTTCGCGTCTCCTCCTGCATTATGAAATTAGCATAATCGGCGGGGAAATTTGAGCGGCCGAAAAAAAAAGAAAAAAAAACAAAAAAAAACAAATGGTCTAACACCGCGAAATTAGCAACAAGACGCGCTTTCAAAGGAAAGCTCTGGCTCTATGAATCTAGCTGTTCCGTATTTGCTCCGAGCGCATGTTCGAGCGATCTTACGGAAGATCCCGACGGTGATACACGTCGAAGAGTGCTCGGAGAGATGCGCGCGCCGTCAGTCAAAACTCCTCCTCCACTTACTGTTAATCGATGTTATTGTTACTCAATGTTATCATATCAGTTGCAGAGAAGGGTGAAAAATACAGATACGTTACTGAAGCGATGAAGGGGTGGCTTACATCGATTAGGTGTAGCACAGATACGGTTTTGTACAATATAGTAGACACGTTCATGTATCATGTTGTCGTATATACGCACACGTGTATGAGACACATGTGTGTGTATATGTATATACGTTTACGTATATAGCGGAGTGGAGCGTAGTGAGAGACACAGGCGAGGCGAAGCTTCATCCCTTTTTTTATCCTTCCGATTCGAGAGACCACGGACACCTTCCCCGAGCGATCTCCCAGTCGTTGTTCGCGCGTGCTCAAAGAAACTCCTCGCTAGGGGGTGTTCGCGCGCGATGAAAACCCGACGAGTTTCCTCCTCACAAGAAGGAGTAGAAGAACCTTTTGCGCGGGGGACTCGGTGTATCTTGACTTTACGAACTCGCCGGTTATGCGCGGAAGATTTGAGTTAAAACTCGAGTTTTGTTCCGCCGCTGGCTGAAGATGGAAGGAAAAACTCGGCGAATGAACAGCGTGAATTTCGTTAGGCACGTAATCGGGCGACCCCTCCGCGCGATCTACAAGGCAGAAAGTTCATAAAAATAGCGGGAGACCGAGTCCCCTACTTTTCCTCGTTAGACGACAAAATCGATCGCCGCGCCACGTGTTCGGCCGAAGAAGAGAATTAAAAATAATCGCATTGTCGAGGCGGAATTCCGTAACGAGCAAGCAAGATCGCTGACGGCGAACGGTCTCCGCGCCGTCTCTTGAATCAGATATGCGCTGGACCGACTTACTCAGTGGCTTTCGCAAAGGGCATTCCAATGAAGGTAGGGCTCAGTGTCTCGGTGTACATCTCCATTCCGGTTCCACGCAGGTAGTCATTCTGCCAAGCCTGCATATCGGGCGACTGGTACCAATCAACCAACCATTTCTAAATCACACACGCTCCTATGCATGTACGGATTGTTTGTCCACAGTGACACCCTTACTTCCGGACGCGATAATGTGATTCGGTGTTTTAAAAACAGCACCGGCGATTAACGAACGAGCTAAGGGGAATTCGAGTGAGAGAGACGCGATCACTGTGAACAGCCTGATCTAATACGAGGAATTGCGTTCAGACATGCATAGAGTAGGGGGCGGCAGGAGAACGACGATTTACTGACCGTCTTGAAGGAACGCATCGCGAAGAGGTTGGCCATCATCGTGCTGAAACCAGGCGCGAGGCAGGACTGCGCGATGAAGCCTAGTTTCAACTCTGCCAGGCATATGACGTCGTCGCCCCGCTTCCAATCCCACGATGGAATGTTTAGTAAGTAGGCCTGAAACGGACAACCGGATGAACGAGAACGAAACATCCACGACGCTCTCGAGAAACAATCATCTCTACGACGCAAATTACTTTCCGAGTTTCTCGACCACCTCTCGCTTAAGTTTAAGTGCACGATTATCCTCCCCCGAGCGTTTCTTCGGTACGATAACGGTTACCTTGTTGTGATACTGCATTAATTGTATGATAACGCGAATGTCGTCCGAATAGTTCTTGATGGAGATGACGCGCATGATGTTCGCCGCGTCTTCCGCGTCCGGGTCCTGGCAGTACTTGTTAGCCAGTACCAAACACGCGTCCGCTTCGTGTACCTAAAAACCATCGAGATAATCCGTTTCGTGTACGGTGTCCGTTGCTCTGTTCTGTGGGTCGGTTAATATAGGCGGGGGAGAAATGTAGGACGTTGGTCTCAAAGCGATAGCGAAACAGTGATTGCTCTCCGAGATTACGTTTGGAGCGGAAAAAAGTAAAAAAGTACCGTTCACAGTCGACGTTCGTCTCATGTTCGCGCGAGAAAAGTCCTTCTTGGCACGCGTCGCGATCGAGAGATCACGCCGCTAAATCTATAGACCGTCGTCCATTTCGCGGAAGACTCATGATGGGAGATAGAGCATCGTCGACGACACAACACAATATGAAAGGCGCGCGTACACACGCGCGAGACAAAAAAAAATATATATATATATATATAGGAATATGCATCTACGATATAGAGAAAAATCAAAGCGTTGAATAAGACAACAAGGGCTACTTGACATCGAAGATTCGCACGGCTATTATATATATCAGGGGCCGTCATCTCGAGGAGTTGTTGGATCCAATTCAAGCTTCGCTATCAAGAATCCGCGCGACTTTTCGCGTTACGATTCTCGCCAGTTTGGTGCGCGAGATACGATCGATCGAAATAGCTTGCGCGAAATGGAAACTTGCCGCGATAACGTAGACGTCTCCGCTTCGTGCGCACCTTCGACGCATAATTGGAATAACGATGAAAATATGAAAGCGAGCCTCTACGACACATTCCTCGATTACGCAAACCTTATCGATCATCGGGGGGAGAAGCGCCTCTATCTACATGCTAATCTATTGACTAACAAGACTTGGCATTAACCTCGTTGTGTAAAAAAAGGAACTATACAAACGTACCGCCCGTCAGTGCAGGATCGATACACTTAACGGATACCATACGGATCGATTATCCCCATCGCATACTGAGTCTCTAACAGAAACTATCGTCTGGAAAGTAATCGTCTGGTGAACCGGTCCTTCCACGAGAAATACACGGGAACTTACCCACTTGGGTCGACAGCAGGCATATCCGGTGAATGCAACACAACCTTTTTCCACGTAAATGAGTGTGTGTGTGTGTGTGTGTGTGTGAGATAGAAAGTGACGTTGCTTTCCTCTCGGATTTGCTACCGGGTATATAAAGAGGGAGGCGAAAGGTAGATAGATAGGTAGGGATATTAAACGACTTTACTAAGGCGAACGTAGAATATTGAGTTTCGGTCACGATTGGCCTGCGTGCCCTTTTAAAACCTCGAGGGTAATTGGTCGAAACCAGCTATCGCTGAAAAATTGACGAGACACGAAAGCATACGAGACGCGGAGGGTGGTAACATCGCCAATGTGTACGAGCATAAAGGGGAAACACACAGGCAACAAACATCCTGGAACAATAGCGTTTGTTATCGGCACAACGTCAGTTCCCGAACGTCTACCGATCGCCCACGGTAGCAGCCGTAATGTCGCTACTTTCGCGCCATCGATTTTTCCAAAGGACCTCACCGAATCGCGCCGTAAATATCGCTTCGCGAACTTGTGCGTCCGTGACAACATAAATTCGAAGATCTCGCGTGAAAGGGAGATAAAAATGGAGAAACAACGAAACAATATTTATAGAATGTTCAAAACGTTCAAATAGATTAAAACGACATCGCGCGGTCACTACTACCGTGCGTACGATGGAGAAGACATAGAGAGAAGGAAAGTGGAAGTATAGTAATGTATAATCATATCGGGAGCGTTGTTTATCATATTTTTATATATGGGTTTCTTCAATGCGGATATTTTGTATCGAGAGATCGTTCGATCGTGATAACGAACTCACCTTAACCCGCTGTAGGTCAATCGGGTTCATGATGGTCCCCTGAAAGAACTCCACGGTGGTGAAGTGCCGCTTGAACAGTCCCTCCAATTCGAGGTCTGGCGGTTTCCTGAACGGATCCGACAAAATGATACGATACTCTTTATAAATAACATTCACCTCAGCCGTCGACGGGCGCCTTTATTTTTGCGATCGATGCCAATCGGCGGAGATTTCATTAGAACGCAATTAAGAGAAATCTAAGGTGCGCGGCCTCTCGAGGAAGAACGCGCGATTTTTCAGGATCTCTCCGTGCTTTACCGAGCGCAGCCCGCGTATTCACCCTCGAGAGGCACACGTGCACGCGTATATAAGTAATAAATCTAAGTAAGTCGGCTCCATAGCTCAATACCAGCATACCATGCAGTCGCAGGCGGTTGCTTTCTACGTAAATATATATATATATTTATAGATACGTATAAGTATCTTTCCGGCGTTGCGTGTCGCTTTGTACGAGGTGTGCTCGAAAAGCGCCGTCGAGTACGACACGCTGGCGATCACGCCGGAGTAGCACCGCGTAAAAGAAAGAGAACGACATTCTAAAAAGAATATGATGATATGGCGATTATCAACGTGAGACTGCATGACATAAAAATATGTGGATAATATATATATATATATGCATAGATAAATATATATAAGAGTATGTATCGACCATCACGGCGTGTTATATCCAGGCGAATAACCGTGTAATAACCTAAAGAACTGCAAGGAAACGAGAAGCGCGAGCGGCCACGTGGAGGGCATTGATGGGGGGTTGTTTGGTTGGTTGGTGGAGGTTTTCGTGTGGTGGTTGTTCTAGGGTTCAGGGTACCTTGACGCGCTCCAGATCCACGGCATTCATCATGGTGCCCTGAAAAAACTCCACGGTCGTGTAATGCCTCTTCAGGAGACCCTCCAATTCGAGATCTGGCTCTTTCCTGGAAACACAGACCACTCCTTACGACTATAGCGATCAGACTTGTCCCTGCGCGAGTTTTACGCTTCAAATCGTCCGTTTGCAATTCGAGGCTTTCACGAACGTAAAATGTCCGTGTTTGCAGCACGAGTTTTCACGTTTGAAACTAATGGAATCTGATCGCTTTGAGTCGCATGGCGACAGGAAATCTTTCTCTCGATCATCGAAGGGGCGACATATACTCACCGCGGAGTCGCCAACATAGGAAAGAAAATGGTATTTAGTATGGGAGAGATGACGGATAGAGATGGTTGAGAGGTAAGTCGATTGTGATAATCAGCGAGCGATAGTTTTCTATTTATGCAATAATAAAAGATTAGATATATTTCACTAAGATAAATTGCACAAACCTCTATTCCTCGTGAAAATGCGTGAGAATACTGTTACATGAGGTAAGATTCGAACAATCATCGTTCGTTCGCGTCCACATTGACGACGCGGTCAAATGTTCAAATGATATGAACGAATGGGAGAGAAGTTTCGTAAGATATATACGACAACCCTCTCGAGATTATTCGCCGGGACACCGGCGATAATGTCGAGGAGGTTGAGGCGCGAAAAAATGTCACTTGTGTGTACTGTAAAAGGCAATGATCATACCTATGCAAGAAGACAACTTCTACGTCGACGTCCTCGCGATCCTCGTGTAGGAAATCCTTGAGGAAATGCGAGACCGATTCGTAAGTGATGTGGCCGCACACGACAATATGTCTGCCAACACAACGAACAGATTAGATTGCGTCCTAACGCGAGAGCGTTACATGGGAAGAGAAAGGGAAACTCTCACAAGCAACTACCATATACACGCTCTATATAGTATATATATATATATATACACACATATATATATATATATATGTATATCAACTAGAGGCCCCGATTAAGTTCACCTCTCGTCCGCTGCTGCCCCCTTCTTCCCGTCGTTTTCTCGGGGTTCAATAACACACATCCCTCGCTACTCATAAATACAAACAAATGATTACGGTGCTGCGAGGGGCGGCGAGCGGGGGAGAGAAGAACGAACGTTGGTGGGAATTACTTTTTTTTTTCTTTTTCCTCTTCGTGCCATTTTAGTCTGCTGCCACAGTGAGATTAAACTTGACTTCGTCTCATTTTGTTAAGCGACTCTATTTCACTTAAGATTACTCATTCAGCAACTGGCGCGGTTCGTGAAGAGACAAAAAAAAAGGGAAACAAAAAATAGTTAGAGCGTGTTCCTCGAGAAATACCCAACGATCCGTCGAGTGAGATCGATACGCGAGTCGTTTACTTCAGAGAGAGAGAGAGAGAGAGAGAGAGTAAGAGAGAGAGAGAGAGAGAGAGAGAGAGAGAGAGAGAGAGAGAGGAAACACGTACGGTCGTTAAAGTGATCGAAAAAAATAGAGAAACTACTCGGCACTTGAGCAATGCGCGCGGTCTACGATGTGTACGCGCGCGCCATTTAAGGAAAGAACGATATGTAAATCAGTAGGCTAGAAAGAAAAGAACTTACCAGGTTTGCTCTAGGAATTGGAGTGTGTTGTTTTAACCAACTAAACGTGAGCAACTATACACGCACGCACGCACGCACACACACACGCACGCACGCACGCACGCAAGCATACACACACCTAAGTGATTAGATTGCGCTATAAGGTGGACGACACATTAGGTTAATATCGACAAGTGTCAGATCGAATAACGCACGAGTGCAGGCTCATTCGTGTTATTAATCATTGCAATATACGTGAAGCGCAAGGCCCTCCTCTACGTGTGTATCGACATGTGGCGCAACTCCTACTCCTAAGTGCGACATAACAAGGTACATAAGACTAAAGGTGTCTAAAGAGATCGATAGAGACTTGCAATGTAGGAAAAGATAGAGTTCGACCATGATCATTCCATGCTCAACTGCCTTCTACTACACGGTGAAGATCTAATAACGCTCGGCCGTGTCGTGAACTCAGCAGCTTCTTGTCTGGTCGCTCGTTTGATCGCGCGACGACACAACACGGAGAAAAGAGAGAAATCCTGCGGATCGTCCTCGCGAGACCGCGGGCCCCTGCTGAATTCAACCGCGGACCCGACGATCACTTGTCAGGGTTGTGGTACTTTCGCTCTAACATACGGGACCGTGTGTGCGTGTACGTCGAGAGTGTTGTAGATATGAGAGAGAGAGAGAGAGAGTAGTCGTTATATCACGCGGTGTTCGTTCGTCGGATCAAAGACGCCGAAACGAAAATCCGGCGTTCGTACGCGTTTGTGTGCAACGAGAGCCGAATTTTGTCCTCCTCTCGCTTTCCTTCGCATTTATTTTCCCTTCTTTTTGCTTCACCATGACGAGATTATCATTCACGTCTCTCTCTTGCTGGTTGCCCCGAGGGCGTGTGATTTATTAAACCCACGAGGCCCTTCGACCGATTCATTGTCCGACGAGACAGGTGCTATTGAAAGTTTGGATAAAATGACCAGTATTAATGAAACTTCGAGATGGGAAACGGTGGTGTGTGGCGAAAATGTGCCAACGATGATCTCCGCCGCGAAAAAGTTCGTATTGTCGTGGAGGAGCCCATCTCTCGCGAATATGTGTACATTCGGGCCCGTGTACTCGGACAATGATGATGATGATGCGATCGTGTCTCGTTGTCGTTTAGCTTCTCCTTACGAAAAATCACATTTGCGTCAGTCATGAATGACGGCTGAATCGAAAAGAAAGCCTGTCGTTCCTGATCGTCTCGAACCACCGAAGTCCCCGTCCTCGATCAGAATCCCTGAACTATTGCGTGATGCGCGGTAATTAACACACGTTATACCCAAGAGACAAACTGAGTAAAATTTTCTTTTGTTTTCTCCTCTTTGGAGTTTACCAATTATACGTAAGAAACGATTATTAACACTGTCTAAAACACCAAAGTTATTACACTGAAGTGATACAACATATTATAGGTTATATATATATATAAATACATATATATATATATATATATATATATATATATATATATATATATNTCTTTCTTTTTTCTTCAAAAGAAGCACCCCGAAAAAACGTAAAGCTAAGAGATACATACTTATTTGGATATTATAAACTATTTGTACTGAAGTATCTTGTTATAGTAGTTGCGGCTTAAACCATATATGTGTGCATGTGTGTGTGTACGCAGATATATATATATATATATATATATATATGTATATATGTATATATATGTATAATATATATGCATTCTCAATGTTCAGATGATGCAGGGTACATGCTGGACGTTGACCCCGTGCACTCGGAGAGAAATACGACATATCAAAACGCGCGGTTCGTTTAACGATGATAAAGTTCGCCCGACCGTGATCCCGCACGTCCATCGGGCAATTAACTCAAGACTCGTCGCGTGAATTTCATGGCTCTTATATTGCGTCGCGAATTACAGCGAAATTTTCCGCTGCAGAATTAACGGTTTGTTAGCGCGACATGGTCCGCGTTATTTATGTCGCTTAACGCGGCTACTAAACGAGCGATCCGGATGGTTATAAACGCGTCCAAGTTACTCGCGAGACGAGACGCGCAATTGAAAGAGCATTCTCGAGGATTTCTCGAGGCTAAGGAACTACCGATCGGCCGTATTTTTCAGCGCGATAAGCCGTATTTCTCCCAAGTGCGCTCGGTGTGAACAAACAAGCTAACACCAGTTGCTGGGTGTGGTAGGTCTGTGGTGGCAGACGGCTGGTTGGCTGCTTGATTAGTTAGTTGGTTGAGGGATTTTGTTTAGGATTTGTTTTTTGGGCACGGCTGCACTAAGGCCGACTGACAACTAGTGCAATGAACTGGTATGGAACTGAGGTTTTACGATGCTAACACTGATCTCTAAATATATATAGATCTGTAAGAAGGAGTCCCGTTAGGTCAGGGGAGTTTCTTGACGGGGATTAATGTTCGCGTACGTGCTTCTATCGAAGGGTTGCATTCAACGGGAAACACGGGAGAAAGAAAGACCGGCCGTGTTCGTACATGTGTCGGAAAAAGAGGGGTAGTAGTGGTGGGTGTGTGTGACACGGGATAGAGATGCCAGGCGGAAGAGAGTGATAGAGATTGCATAGCCTTTCATGTACGAAAGGATATTCAAATCGGGGAAGCTAATTGGTTGTGTCTCTCACCTGCGACCTCGCTCGTTCTTCAAAGTGCCGCCATACTTGTTTCGCGTCCCGATCAGGTCAATTATCTCGGGGATACAACTGGCGAATATGGCCTACACCACGTAATAGAACAGAACATAACACTCGCATCAATACACTTGTGAGACAGGGTTGGCAGTGGTTTGCTTTTCTTTTTTTTACATGTATCAGTCGGTCGGTCGGTCGGTCGATGAATTTTTGAATGTTTCCTGACGTCGCGTCGTGATGTCTCATTATTACGCGATACGTCTTTTCTCATAGGTGACGAGGGGAAGGATATTTGCATTTTCATGAGCGGAATCGCAGAATTTGGCTCGGCGTAACCCAGGTTACGCGGCTGCTCATAGAGACACGATTATCAGTGCTGTGCGAGCCACGCCTTTGAGAATTAGTAATGTGTTGGAAACGTTCCAGATAAAAGAAAGGGCGGGGTACCTAACGAGTACTACAAGTGCCGTCTACCCAGTCAATCGGTAGATCTATTCGCGCGTTGAGACGCAGTCCCTGTCATTAAAAAAGTCCTATCATCCCTTCTTCACGCAACATATGTATGTCTTTTCTATCCCTCTCGAAAACTCTTCGCTTCTAATTAACTCTTCCGCGTCCTTTAAACGCATCTATTCTCGCGTGAATTTTTACACTATGTATTTCGTGGAAATAAGAAGTTGACCGAAGAAATTATTCGACATTTTTCTCTACAGATATTTTTTCGTTCAACAGTTAATGTTCGAATATTGTCGATTTGCGATCTTAACGCGGGTAGATATTAAAATTTGTTAATAATCAGAAGTATAGGTGCAAACAGCACACACACAAGTTTGCTTTTCAAAGAAAAATTTTGAATAGAAAAGATAAGAGAACGTCAGAGTAGTCTTTTATTTTTTATATTTAATTATAAAAATATATTGAAAGTATTATAATTTTATATGTCAATATTCTTGATAATTAGAACTCGCGATCAGTGGAGGAAACCTTTTTGTCCTAATTCTTGTCTCCTCCTCTACTTATGAATACTAAATTATTAAAGAAGGATAAACTTGTTAAACTTTTGCACCCAGACTTTTAATTACAGTTGCATTCACATGGATAGTATATACGCCGAGGAAATTCTTATTATGTAAGAAGATATTCTCCGAAATATGTTCTGGTCAAAGGTGTAAGACGACAAGCCCGCGAGGGGCATCTTCTAACTCGCAATATAACGCACGGATGTAACAGAACTCACTGGAAATTTAATTAGCGAGCGATGTTAGTGTCTGGTTAATATTGAATCACTCGTTCACACTACAATTGCACGATACAATCGACACAACATGTGTATGCGCATGAATATTACAACAGTTCCCAAAATCTCGAAATAAAAACGTATATATGTACATGATTCAATCACGATAACAACGGAACCGATAAAGCTACGCTACAGCACACAACATAAGATCTCTTTCTTCCTCCTTACGATGCGAACGCACGCCGTTCGCGCAATATATATATATATATATATATATAGTGTAATATGTATCTGTAATATGTATCCGGAAGAAAGTTCTTCTTTGAAGAGCTTTCTCCACAAAAAAGATCATCGATGGACTCCGATGAAAGTGTGCACATAAATATTATTATTTTGTGACAGCAAGTAAGAAAACATTATTCTGATAAAAAATGGGAAGAGCCAATCGATGATCTGCCGAACGAAAAGGATCTCATCGCGAGAAGCGGTGATGCTCTGCGGCAACGAAGTCTGTGAGCGTAATTGCGTGTTACGATTCATCGAAAGATTGCACGAGCGGGCCAAAACGATTTTCTTTCGCGACTTCCTGCGTGTTTCTTGGGACAGTGGGCTGATCTATGCGCGTACTACCTCTTACTTCTCGATTTGGCCGCACGTGTCGTTCGCGTTAAACGGAGTAATTGTGATGTTCCGGGCGAGTATCCTTTCCGTGTGCGTTGTGTGCATGTACGTGTACACATATGTACACACGTGCGTGCATACATACGCGGGACGATCGCCCATACGTTACCCGCGTGTTATATGGAACGTATGCTCGATGTGACCCAAGCTAGACTACCTGTGTGCCCCAACAATGAGATCGTGAGTCGGCGCTTCGCGGCGAACGAAGGCAAGACGGACGTAGATCCGATCAATTTTTCATCCGCTCGCGTGCGGTCAAAAGGTCATAGACGTTTTATTAGAAACGCACGCTCGATATTTTTATGATACCTGCGATATAATAAAATTCAAGGTGATTCGAATTCATTCATTGGCGATATCCTGCGAAAGAGATAAATGGAATTTCGAGGGAGAAAAAAAATATCGGGCAAGATTGAATGTCTAAACTTCGATTATCAGAAGAAGCATGACGACGTAAACAAAGTGCCGGATAAATTTAACTTCGTGCGATGACTTTTCTAAATCCTCGGCGTTAACAAAATCAGTATAAGAAAGTATCTACTCTTGATTTTGACCGAAATCACTTTGAAAACACGAGGACATGTATCGTTCGTTTTGGAGCGACACGTATCTCTCGCCGAGATGAATACCTCTTTGTTTTCTTTGCGATTGTTTCATTCCTGAATCTTCGAGATTCTCATTAAATAACAAATTTTCTATGATTATCCGATTATTCGTTATTTTGCCATCTAATTACATTTATGTACACAATTATCGCAACCGTCTTCGCCGAGTTACGTCGTTCCACGTCGCATATGAATGCAGCGTCGTATATCGCAATCAGACGTGCAATTTCTACTGATAAACCCCTAAAGAGCGGCGGTATGTGCCTACGTTTGCAGCCGCTACTGCTGCTCTATTTCAAATGCCAAGAACCGTGTGTGTGTATGTGTGTGTGTGTGTGTGTATCAAGCCAAGAGAAAAGTCGCGACTCGATACTGAACCGGAGACGACCGCCCTCCTCGCTCTCGCGTACATCGAACGAGAGAAGATTATTCTCTCTCCCTCGAAAGGTCGTACCGGGGGGTCGATCGCCTTTCGACAGTCTACAGACTAGCCAAAACACTATCGCATGCTACCAAGAAACTCAATCTGAAAGAGAGAGCGGAATAGATAGATAGAGATAAAATAGATAGATAGAGGGAGAGCGAGAAAGACAGAGAGAGAGAAAAGAGAAGTATGTCTCCACGGTTGTTTGTCGGCGCTCCCTGCGGAGCCTAATTTTGCCGGACATGATCGGGTTTCCTTCATACATTTCGATAACGAGTAATATTCATACGTCTCGACCTGATGTCGGCGAGTTACTTCGAAGATATTGACACGCGGTCTTTTAACGTGTACGTGTATATATGTATGATGTATCTGTGTGTGTATGCCGATTGTATCAACGTCATTCGCAATTCGCTGCTTCACGGCTGTGATCGCGTATTGTTCGACGATACGTGTTTTCGGAAGAGTCGTGTTCGACAATACGTAAAAAGAGTAAAATCCCCCAAAGGATGATCAAAAACGCAAAAACAAACGGATTCTCTCGGAATAGTATGGGCGAATATTTCATTCAATTATCAAGCGAATATATACAAATAATTACCTGAGTAATATCGTCAAAAATGCTTTTTCGATGGAAACGTAACGACATTCGAGATGGATGAGAAGAAAAATAAGAGACATCTCTCTCCGGCGGAAAATCAAAAAGCAGCGTGACGCTACGGATAAACGAAAAATATTGCCGCGCGAATATTCGCGAGAAGTTTTATAATCGGAGAAATGGACAGCTTTTGAAAAGAGGAGAGGTGTTGCGCGTAATAAACATGCATGTTTGTTGCGATGATACATCTTCCGTTCCGCGATTTTATCGCTCGCTGCCGCGATGGAACGTCAAACAAACACGAAACTCAAAGCGAAAGAGTTTCGATCGTAAAAATATGACGCATTTTACACGATTTACCACCGACAGAGACGGGAATCGGCTGCGTTCGATGGGTGCGTCTTGCCACGATCGAACGGATGCCGCACGCTAATAACATTAATCTCGTTCGTTAGTGCATAATATTGTGCGCCACAACCGCAAAGGGTTAGGCATCATGATTTCCCGCGCGTGCGGAAGGGACAAAGTTATCGACATTGCTGCCGTCGATATACTGTTCGCGCCCTACGTGCGCTGTGTAAAGGGACAAAAAGCGACGCAATCGTGCCGCCGAGTTAATCTACCACGATAACTAGATTAGCGAGGTACATTACGTGCGTGATGTAAGTCAACTTTCCGTGCCCAAGTAATCGACCCTACCTCTGATCCCGTTATAACTAAGGACGAACCGCTCGTTTAGACGCGAAAAATACGCAGGTATCGTTAAACGCGCACGCCGCGACACAATTCTGAGAAACACTACATAATAATGTATAAAAAGCAAGAGAAAAGCTATATGTTATATATATTCAAGAGCTTCATATCCTCGCATCGACCGAGTTACCGGGAACGAAATGGCTTTTGATGAGTTATAACGTGAGGGATCAACGAAGAGAACCAACTACTTTTCGTGACCGTGCGATATAAGGTAATCGTATATATGTATATATATTACAAAGTACCAATGTGTACATATATATGGAGAGAGAGAGAGAGAGAAGAGGAAAGAGAGAGATGCAACAGTAATATATATATATATATATATATATTTTTTTTTTTTTTTCTCATCTACTAATATGTGTATGTAAACGTGTGTATGTAATAATAATAATAAAAATTCGTGTGTTTCTCTTTCCACAAGAGTCCAAGCATACCAGCACGTGTTATTACCAAGATATTTGCTAACTGGTAAAAAGGTGGAGAAGAGAAGCGGTGAGAGTCAGCGCAGGATTATGTTAAAGAAACGGTGAAGACGAGGGTGAATAAAAAAGAGAAGGAGAGACTGTGTGACTCAAGAAATCCGGAATATCATTTCTCTAACAGTCACGGATCCATGATGAGGGCCGAGATATGGGGCGAGATATGAGGTAAAGAGCGGCGGGAGGAACGGGATGTATTTACTAGTCGAAGAGTAAGTTCATCGCGGATAGCGAAGGTGGTCCCGAAGGTGGTTTACTCGCACCTCCGCGAGAGAGAAGCGACGATGTTTTTCTTTTCAT